CCAAAATTATACTTGTTTCATAAACATTCAACCCAACTCATTTAACAAATTCTTCTGAAATGATGGAATGTGAAGCTCCCGTATCAAAAAGAATCCGTATATGCTTTCTTTGCATTATTACCATATCTATAAAAGTTACATACATAAAGAAACATAAACATACATCATTCCTTTAATAATGTTTTCATAATACATATTCATTCACTTCTCATTTTTATCATCTGTAATTACTTCAGGTGAATCATTAATATCCTTTTGAGTCAGTTCATATACTCTAGGCAGAGTATTCTGTCATCTTTGACTTGATCTTGGAGTTGAAGCAGCTGATTCTACTGTTCTTGGTCTTCCAACATTCTTCTGAGATACAGCATTTATCTTTAACTCTCTTGCTGGTCTTTGCCCCAAAGTAGGACAGTTCTTAGTTATATGAACCGGTTGATGACACCAGAAGCAAGTATTTGTACCAGATAAGCATTCTCTTTTATGCTGTCTTCCACACTTAATGCAACTGTTTACACTTGAACTGCCACTGCTGCTGGACTTTATCTTTTTCCAATTAAATTTCTCACCTTGTGAAAGAGACTTGCTATGTGAATCCAGAGGGGCTCCCATAATTTCACCACTTTTCCTCTTCTGAAAATCACGTCTCTTTTTAGTATTTTGCAGGTCTGCTTCTATCCTCCTAGCCCTTTCCACTAATACTGAATAATCTTCAATCCCAAATGGAATAAGAGGCTGTCTAATTGCATCCTTCAATCCAACTAAGAATAGATGACATTTATCCTCCATAGTATGTACTAATTGAGGAGCATATCTAGCTAATGTTGTAAATTCAGCCTCATACAACATAACTGATCTATCTCCTTGTACTAATCTCATAAACTTGTCCTGCATTTGCCTCCTCACAGAAGGAGGTACAAATCAATCCCTGAATACCTGAGTAAAATCATTCCATTTAATTTGCATGTTAGGGATTCCTTCAAATTTGTCTTGATACAGACCTCTCCACCACCTTTCAGCTTCTCCATCAAGTACGAAGGTTGCTAAGGAAACCCTTCTCCTCTCTGGACAATTCATTCCTTCTAGAATCTTTTTAATTCTTAGTAACTAGTTTTCAGCTTCTATTGGTCCCTCAACTTCCTTGAATAATGGCGGTTTTATATCTTGAAACAATTTCAGATACTTATCCATAACCATTCCCCCACCACAACTACAACCTGATGATTGATTCCTTGAATCTTGAATCAACTGTGTCATAGTTGTCATCATTTGTGTCAGTGCATCAGGATTAACATAAACATTTGGTACTGGTCTTTCCACTTCCTCTACCTCTTTCCTCTTCTTCAGGATTTATTTGGTTCCTGTTATCAATAAAATAATTCACTACATTAAATCTTTAAATCATTAATAATCGTCCTAATGGCTCTTCCAACACGATTCATATCTTAATTGGGCTCTGATACCAATTTTGTCACAACCCGGCCTAGTTGCTCGATTTAACGAGGTGGGAACTAAAAGTCGGACGATAAAAAAAATTTATTAAACATTATACTACTTCTTCATTTGTACTGAAGAGCTATTAATACTCAAAATATAAATTACATGTTGTCATTTGCACGTCATCTTCTATATATGAATTATTCTCTTTCAGCCATTACTTCTTCTTTAGTGATTTACCTGAAACATTAATTTAGGGGAGTTTGAGTTTACAGCGTAAACTCAGTGGGTAATAATTAAAACCATCAATATAAATGTTCTTTGATATGCATCTTAACATTTCTTGACTTTATTTTATTCATTAAGTAATTTATACATCTCTGGTTATTTTCTTTTAAAACATTTTAAAAGATTTGGAAACTTTAATATTTCCTTTTCCCATTTAGTTTGTACAGGAGCAATGTCTCAATGTACTCAAAGATACTACCTTTTCCAATTATTTCATTTTCCATTTTCATGACGTTTTCTTTTTCCTTTTACGTGCATGAGTACGACGTTCCCTGCCAGTACCATAAGGGAGTGAACTCGTGTAGTTTTCATATATATACTTTTCCTTCATTTTTCATTTATCTTGAACATTTTTATTCAGTTTCATATATCATTTGTTTGTTTGCAACTTTGCATATTTTCTTAATACATACGTGTACTATATAACATTCTTTTTCATTTATATTCATAATTGTATTCATGTTAGGCATTTTAATCTTTTAGCTTTTCACATAAAATAGTCTTTTAAAATTAAAACTTTGAAAGTAATACTATACTACACAACAGTGTATTTCGTATTTGAAAGTATAATACAAAATATTGAATTTCATAATTATAATTACCCACTTTGATCTTTCAGTTCGTCGATCCTTGTCTCAACCTCAGTCGCAAAATTTTATCGTTGTTGAATTCCTTGAACAACCCAACTTGTACCACTTGATTTCTTTCTTTCAAAAGAGGATTATTCTGACTCAAAATCCTTCTCCTTCCTTTCCCGAATTTTTCAAATCTCTTCCTTTGCCCTCTTCATATTCTTCCTCTCGATCGTTCCTCTCGCTTCTTCCTAAATTCCACTCCTTTAGCGATAAGAATAGAAAAGGAGTTGATTATTTTTATCCCTAATCACGAATTTGCTAAAAAAACGAAAGGAAAACTCCCCATACCTCCCACGCAAACGCTCGGCCCACCCTGCTTCCGCCTCTCTGTATGTTTGCGAAAGGCAACAGTTCCGACCCTCTTTGGGTCGCATCTTTCTATTAATATAATTGGCCGGTTTGATTGAACCGTCCAGATCCGGTTCTCACAAGGCCGGTTTTGTAGAAGTGGAATGGTTTATGGGAGAATCAGCCGGTGTTAATTTGGAGAGTTTGGTCGGCGGTCAAGGGAGGAGGAGAAAAGGATTTATGGAAAATGCGAGCCCGGACACATCCTGCAGCTGGCGGGTACTACATTGTTCTTCACCAAGGGACTTTAGGCCACGAGCTTGGACACATCCTGCGGCTGGTGGAAGCTATGAATTCCTCCTATAGGAATCTTACCCAAGGTTCTTCCCAAAGAACACAAGTGCAAACACAAAATTTTATTAATTCTCCAACATTACATTGCACAAGCAAGGGCCTCTATATATACGCCTAAGAAACTAAAACAAGACACATATGCCCCTAGGGCTTACATAGAAAGATCCGCTTAAGTAAGGGTAAAAACAAAAAAAATCATTATAAAAATTAAAATTACAAATAACAAATTAAGATAAGGTGGAATTATGATGACCGTCGATCTTCAGCTTCTCCTTGGATAGACATGGACGGTTGGATGTCCGCATCATTATCTCGACCGTCGATCGTCGTCTCCTCCTTTGAAAATCTTCATGATCGAATGTCCGCATCATTTTGCTTTCAAATAGTTAGAAATTACTGTTATTTTATGTATCGTTATATTTGCTGAAAATTATTATCCCATGTTATTTAAATTTGGCTAATTAAATTATTATTATATGCCCATAATATATGCATATATAATATACCATGTGTGACCAACTTGTTAGTAAAATCACTGTTTTGATTTGTTAATTGTGCATTGAAACTTGAAGGGAGCCTTGCTCATCTCATTGCACTTTGCATTTTGAAATACTAGTGTGTACATGACTTTGAAAAAGTTCGTATTAGACTTATTTTATCGAGTCATAGGCATACTATGATGCACGGACACGGCATGTTCACGAGACACATGAATTATTGAAAATATATGACATTGTATTATTTTTTAATCTTAAAAATAGTATATAGAAATTAAATAAGCATAATATTGGGAATAATTGAGAAATAATAAGTCATTTAACTTAAATTTTTACTTACAATAATTAAATTATGATGTTAAGAGTCGGATATCGATGTCGTGTGTTAGACATCTAGAGGGGAGATGACAATGTTACCGAGAATGAGAATCAGAAATCGATGTTGTGCAATGGGGCATTAGACATTGATGGAGAGAGTGCGGGGGCGTGATTGTGGGTATAAAAATTACTAGTATCGAGCATCAATGTCAAGACAACGTTAGACTTCGATGTTGAGATGGTATTAGCATGTTGATATTATGATAGCATTAGACGTTGGTGTTGAGATAATCAACTGTTAAAAAGTCGAAATACCAAATATTATATTTGAAAAAAAATCATAAAATATTTAAAACACGTGTCGGGCACGCTTATCCAATTTGTTTTTTTAATCGGAAACATATTCCAGTTGTTCAATATGTTTTAGGGTGTTCATGTCCTATATGTGTCAGACGCTATATTTCTTTGAGGGGAATTTTCAGTGCATCATATGCGTTGTGTATGAAGGTAGCAATACAAGAAGCACTGCTCATGAAAGAGAGACTCTAAACTCACTTCATTTGCTTTCATGTAAAAGCTTTTAACTTTAGATTCCATATCTAATGATGCGTGAACAATTGTGTGGGTGCACTTTTTATGAAAGCATGAATTTTGACCTTGTATGCTGTGAGCATTAGATGTGTTTTCAAATCAGTTAATAACTTGTTTTATAGTCTAACATGTGAAGCTCCTTATATGTTGCTCAGATGTGACAACTATGCTATTGGGCTAAAATATCAGAAGGGAAACTAGTAGTAGTTTGAACCTTCTCCCAATTATTTTCCGCATGTTTTCTGTATATTTTAAAACTAATAACTTCATTTTTTTTTTTCAAATCTAGTTTAGCTATACTATTTTGAATAAATTTATTCATGCTTGCTTTTGATTTCCCTTTTTCTGCCTGCACATCGACCTTTATCTGTTTCCTTCCTTATTGGCTTTTGTTCTTTGTATTATTTTATAAGAATACTTATATTTGTAGTGCAATGGTTTAATGACAGTATTGTTCTCGTGAAATATGGTTTTCTTGTTGCATATGTATGCATATCATTGATTATTTTACTACATGATCATATTCCATTCTCATATTAATTTTGATATTTATTTAAAATCCAAAAGGTTTTACTTCTTCATTTGTTTGAAGATATGGTGCAGTTGTCATGGATGATCAGTATGCTGATGGAAGTTTAGGGTTTACAATACTTCACAACAGTACCTGTCAACATGCAGCTCCAACCTATATAAATTTGGTGAATGCTGCCATAATGAGACTTGCGACTGGCAATAGCAACCAGACAATAAAAATCCGCAATCACCCCTTGCCTATGACAATGTCACAGCATGCTCAAAGACATGTATGTATATCTTATCCCAAGCTTTATCTTTTCTCATTTAGACTGATAATTTTCTTCATGCGTGAGATAATTTCATCCTTCTGCTGATTAATCATAAGATGATAAAAAACTGCAGGTGTAAATATTTAAATTCTGAAGCACTGTTTCAGTAGAGCTTTTATGACTCATTATCATGTCATGTTAGTAAAATTCAGCTCTCTCTTTTCATCCTTTGCCAACACACACACACGCTCCCTTTTCTAAAACTCTCTTATTATCCTTTCAGTTACTGTAATAGCAACATGACAATAAAAATCCGTAATCACCCCCTGCCTATGACAATTTCACAGTATGCACAAGGCATGTATGCATATCTTACCCCATGCTTTATCTTGCTCAAGTTGGATTACAGCTCTTACCGTTCTTGAAAGTAAATGTCCATGCGCTGATTAAATCAGGAGATGATAAGAAACTGCAGGTGTAAATCTTCTAAAATTGTTCCTCTCCCCCTGGCATTTCATTCTTGTATTTCTAGAACCATTGGCTCCCTCTTTGCTTAGCATCTCCTAATAGTTAACCATGTACACTTATTATCCTTTCTTCCATAGGCTGCTACTTCAGACCGTATTATGTATTTATCTTAACTGTTTAATGGTTCAATGACCTCTTAACTCCCTTAGAAATAATCATTAGTTATATGGCTGCTGATTTTTTTGCCTTGTACTATCCAGGAGTTACTTTATAATTGTTTCCATTTTTTATGGAAGTATGTGAATGAGTCTACCTTTCCACCTGACCAGAAAATTGTGCTCAACATTTTCTTTAGTATCCCATTTGGAGTGAATGACCTTCAACATGAAAGTTGGCAGATATAATTGGAATGTTTGGATCTATATTGAAGCAATTGTTGTAGTAGAAATTCCCCCAATGGAAGAATTTAAGTGCAAACCATGAGGTTTTAACATTCCTGTATAAGGCAATAGATTATAATTGATTTTCCCCTTATGTTTAAAGGACCATTTGTCCTTTGCATGCAATTTAAAATAAAATGGAGAAGGAACATGATTTAATTTCCAGTAGGATTTAAAGCTATCATTTTTGTTGTTTGGCAGGATTTAGGCTAAATTGTACTTAAATTATGCTCAATTCTATTGATGTAAGTTTTTGTTGGATTTAAAGTTATAATTTTTGTTATTTGGCAGGATATTTATACTTAAATCTTGCTTAAATCAACATGTTGTTTGCTATTATATGGTATTTTTTATTAATGCATTTTTTATTTAAAATTATTTTATATTAGCGTCATGTTTAAAATGACGTGCGTCGTGCTGTGGGTTATTCACCATGATTCCACGGGGAACTTTGCACCATGGTGTACCATTCACTGTTGACAAGTATGATGAACTCTATGACAAATATTTGTCTTACTAGATTTCTCTGTTTTATTGGAACATTCAAAGTTTTGATTCTTTCGTGGATTAGATATTTCATATTCTTTTTATTAGAATGGGTTGTAACCAGAAGAAAATCTATCAACATTCACATTTTTTCAATAGTCATCGTGCCGTATATTCCTGATAAATACTTATCTTTTTTTATGCTGTTGTATTTTTCTTTTTCCTCAGGCAATTTGTTGTAATTGCCTTTGTAGTACTCCTATCATTATCTAAATAATATATTATGTTCTTAAAAAATTGATTAAAAATATTATAAACAAATTTGATAAAGCTATGGAAAGTTATAGAAAGTTTTAGGAATCTTATTTAGCGTCCTGAACCTTCTTAAGACTTTGTTGTTGTGCCCTGTACCCTATTTTTCACCTAGCATAAATCACGTTAACACATAAATTCTAGGAAATATAAATAATTGATTATAAATATCATGTAAATATGAAATGGAGCCTGCCAAGTTTGATCCTCCACACGTAAGGGACGGAGTTGAAGGACCTACGTTCCAACGAGCATCTAAAATGTAAAAGAATAGTTATAAGATTCTTCGAGATGCATTGGCTATAAGCTAAGAGTCGTAAGCTCTGATCTTTGAGATTTTATATTAGCAGAGTTGTAAGTCATATGTCGAAGCTCATTAATCTACATGTTGGGGTGAGAATGATCAGATTTTGAGTTATTCCAAATCCGGATCGAAATCAAAAGTTGCTTGATTTGATTCGATTACAAGCCAGCTTGGCTCAAACTAGCTTGCTTTCTTGCCGGCTCAAATATAAGTTGAACCTGCTCAAAATCCTTAATGTTTTCCTTTTGAATTTTTTTAAAATCTATGTTAAATTACAAATATGTATCTTAATTTATAATATATAAATACTTATATATGCATATATGTATGTATGAAATTTTAAAATTATACATTTTTATTTATATTTTGATCTAATTTCAAGCTGTCTCATTTTGATCCTGAATAGTTCAAAATTAGCTTGTTAATCAAACCAAGCCAAACATTTAGCTCATGGAACGGTCTGATTAGCATGATTTGTGCACGATCGTAGTGAAAAAAGATTTTGATCTTTAAGTGATATTCGGCCTTTGAGCTAAAATGTTAGCACTATCTACATGCGAGGTATAATAAATTGGGCTCAGAGCTCAATAATCATCCAAAGCTTGGCCCTCTATATAAAAAAGTAGAGTTGACATGGTTAAGCCAATAATTGTTTAAAGCTCGTTCAGAACTCGGTCCGATGTACGAAGTTAAAGTTGATAGGTCGTATAAATTGCTAATTGTCAAAGACCTAATCCTCTACATATATAGATGTAGAGTGGATGATTATATGTGGCTTGTGGTATGATTTGGAAGCAAAAATAACAATTAAAAGAGAAGAACAACGTAGGAACATAATGATTGGTGTTGATTTTCTTATTAACACTTCAATGATAATGAAAGATACAAGTGATCTACTATTCGAGAGGTAAATCGGCACTTCCAATCAACATAGATGCCGCTAGAAAGTCCTCAAGAAGAAGACCACAACAAACAAACCAAACACATAACCCACTTAACATAATAATTAGTCTTAAATACTCTTCCTATTTCCCTCCTAACAACTTGACTGTCTTAATTAATTCCTCTTATTTTGAATTCAAATTAGAATTAAACAACAGTTAATTCCTTTATTGCCTTAATTAATTTTCTTCTCATATTTCTATTTAAAATTAAAATTCTTTCCTTCAATTCTAATTAAAAATTCCCTAAATAACTTCTCCTTACTCCCCTATTTCATAATGATCTATAGCTTTGCTGGCCCCATAAGGGGGGGGGGGGGATGAAATCCTCCTTGGTTCTACTAAGATTTCCACCCAGCCCCAAGGGCTGATTCAAGCCTAGTTGGCTGGCTAGGTTGGATCAGCCTCTCTGCTCCCCTTCTCCTGCCATATCAATACTACCCTCCCAAAGACGCACCTTATCCTCAAGATGGAAGAATGAGACATTGGTCATGCCTTTTTCCAGTGGCTCAGGAAGTGTCCATGATATTGTACACTAGAACCAAGCTAGGGCTTGTCCCTATAGGCATTGCCTTGCAGTTGTAAGCTTCTCTTCATCATTCAATCCTTTCACCATGAAATACATCTCCACACGATAGACCCACCCATAGGCATCCTCCCTTTAAATATTGGCATCAACAACTTCTCCCTAGAATTGTCACCGCCCTAATAGCTTCTTCCTCCTCCAGTGTAGCTATTGTCGTGGTCCCTCCATGTTTTCCATATGTACCGAGGGTGGGACTACCATCTTTCTTCTGTTTGTTCCTGCATGACCCAATCCTTGGTTCAACTCGACCCCCTCCATATTCGGTCGCCCTCTCTTGCCTGAAATACCTCCCATAATGGTTGGCCACCCAACCACCTCCACCACATAAATCCCTTCTTGCTATACCCCCTTCGGGAAACCTTGATCCACTCTTTATTGAAGCCTTAGGAGGTGGCTCTTGATGGAAGAAACTCTCTTTATTGAACCACTTCCGTCTGATCTCCTTTTCTTTGAGATTTGGCCAAGGAAATCTCGATCAAACTTGGTTAGGGTTAGCAATTGAAACCGACAGTGAGGTTTTTGATCGCATCTCCATGAGCTTTCTTATCATCTCCTCCAGAATTTCCTTTCTTTTTGGTTCAGCCCTAGGAATCTTTGGTGAAGCTTTTGACTACATCTCGATCATTTTCTTCGTCATATCTTTTGAGTTTTTAAAGCGATTCTCCATGGATGAGAGCCTTCATTTGATGGATGGAAGACTTCATTTGATGGTTGAGAACTTCTCTACCAACCAAAACTTCCTTCTAACCCATCCACCATCTTTGCTGCCCTAAGTCCCCAAAAAGGTCTATAATACCAATTTAATACGATTCGGAAGAGAGAACAACTAATAAAAGAGAAGAACAGTGGAGGAACACAAAAATAGGGGCTTATTTATTTTAATACTTCAATAATAATGGAGGATATGAGTGACCTACTATTCAAGAGGTAGATCGACTCTCCCAATTAACCTAGATGTCGCTAGGAAGGTCTCAAGAAGAAAACTACAACAAACAAACGAAACACATAACCCTCATAACACAATAACTAGACTTAAATAAGCTCTTCGTATTTTCCTCCTAAATAGCTTTATTGTCTTAATTAATTCCCTCTCTTATTTTGAATTCAAATTTAAATTAAAACAACAATTAATTCCCTTATTGCCTTAATTTTTCTCTTAACTTATTTCAAAATTGAAATTCTTTCCTTCAATTCTATTTAAAACTTCCCTAAATAACTTTTGCTTAATCCTTCCTTTCATAATAATCTATAGATTTGCTGGGCCCTACAGAAGGGGGGGGGGGGGGACAAGGGGGGGGGGGGGGGGGGGGGGGAGGAATCCCCCTTGGTTTTGCTGAGAGTTTCTCCTAGCTCGTAGGGCTTATTTGGCCCTAGCTGGGTTGGACCAGCCTCTTTGCTCCACTTCTCCCATCATATTTGCTTGATCCTCTACATTTAATGGGTGGAGTTGACAACATAGTTCCTAATTACAGTTTATGGTT